CCCCAACTCTCTTCCCCTTCCTGATCCTCTCCTCAGTGAACCCACCCCAATATTAATAAAAAATGGTGGCACTAACATGCCATTTTTTTGCCATCACATTGTTCACTCTGATTGTACATTCTACCCCTTCTCCCACCTGTCTCTCATCTGTTTCGATTCTAAATGCTTCAGGGCAGGGACCATCTTAAGTACTATCATAGTAAGCATGGGCTATGTCTACACTGTCAGTTTTGCTGGCAGTGCGTATGCAAATGAGGCACAGATTAGCAAATTGTCGTGACTCATTTGCATAATTTATGCAAGCTGTTTTTGCACAAAGGGTTTTTGTGGAAAAAAAGTAGTGCAGACATTTTGTTTTTGTGCAAAAACCCCGTTTTCCACAAAATCCTTATGCCTCTCCCAGAAGGGCATAAGGATTTTGTGCAAAACGGGGTTTTTGTGAAAAAAAATAACCCGTCCACACTACTTTTTTTTCTCAAAAACCCTTTGAGCAAAAATGGTTTGCATAAATTATGCAAATTAAGCATGGCAATATGCTAATCCGCACCTCATTTGCATGTTCACGCCTGGCAAAACCAGCAGTATAGACGAAGCCATCGTGATTAAGAATACAGAAAAAGGATAGTCCAGTGCCTATGAGATGAGCTTAGAACCTGACAAATTTAAGTTCAGTTATGTGCTGATGTTGGACTTTCTGCTTGAGCTTTGGTAAGTCATTTGGTCTACAGGCTTCAGTTAGTACAAGGATAAATACATGAAGTTTGCTGAGGAAATATAGTAGTGAGGGTCATATAAAATAGATTATCAATTTGCTGTATTGATTTATAACACCTAAGACTCCATGCTTACACATTTTTTCATGAATCAGAGGGTTAGCTGTGTTAGTCTGAATCTGCAAGAACAACTTCTCGTTATTTTTTCATGACAAACTATACAAATATCCAGCCTACTGCAATTTGTTTTTTTGCTTCCTTCTCTGGTTATAGGTATGACAAGATATTTTTTGCTAAAATGGTGTAAAACAAATTCCTTAATGCCTTCCCCCTCTGCAGGCACACATACTTTTGATTAGTGGGACATAACACGGGATAATAGAAGAAATTTTAGAATAGTATAAGTAGTCCCATCACATCATTACCCTTCTGGAAGGTCTGAAATGGACTTTTCTTAATTTTGATTGATTGTATATATATTTTGGAATATTCTATTGGAGAGATTATAGTTTGTTCCTGGGAAACAATTAGAGAGAGAGAAAAAGAAGAATGTTCTAATATGTTTAGAGTGCTAGCCTGGATCTTAACAGATGCAGGTATCATTTCCTTCTCTGCCATAGACTTTCAGTATGATTTAGATCTGCCACTTAGATCCAGATCCTCAAAGTTATTCAGGCTCCTAATTTTTTATTAATTTCAATGGACATTAGGAACCTATATACCTTTGAGGATCTGGGCCTTAGGCTATGTGTGCTTCAATTCTCATCTATAAATTGGGGATCCTAATGCTTTCCTTCTTCCCAGGGCTTTTAGGATATTTACATTGACAATTGTGAAGCACTCATACACTCATACCTAAGATGATGATAAATAATATGAATATCTGTGTCTGAGATAAGCCAGAGTTAGTCCAGAAATACCTGTATGTGAAAGTTCAACAAAGTATTTAAAATGGAAGCACAAGTTATGCAAAAATATTTTCCTCTCTTGGGCAATGATTGGAGAAAAATTCTGGTGGAGGTTTGGTTGTAGGGTGATCAGGCAAAATGATATTATCAGGAACATCCTGATATTAGAGGCTTTAATCTTCTCCAGGCAGTTGTTGGACACACCACACCCCTGTTTTTCATACTTGCTATCCGATCAGCCTATCTGGTTGACACATTTTTATTATATTCATAATGCTGCTAGAGTAATGTTATCTCTGAGTAATTTTCTATTTATGTCACTATGTATGTTTATGAATTTGCCACAGGGTGTTCAGAGCCTGGGATGGGTGGACTTTGATATAGCAGTATTAATCTGAAAAAATTTAAAAACAATTTAAATTGGAGTAATTTATATCTGTTTTTAGCAGGATATTGAGTGTGCCATTCATTATGTGTTTCTGATTTGATAGGGTGGTGTGGATAGCTCTAATTGCAGCTGTCATTTGTTGGCTCATCTTTGACACTGCCAAACAGGGTACCAATCAACTCATCTCCTTTGGGGGGCTTGTGATGTATGTTCTCTTGATGCTGATCTTTTCCAAATACCCAACCAGAGTAAGTATTTGGTTAACTCGTGATCTTTTCCTTCATTTTGACTAGCTCTCAAGAATATATTCACTAGAACTGAACAGTTCCCAGAAGCCCACAGCAATTTACATGCAATAGCCTAAATTTTCTAAAAACGTAATGATATGTATTGTACTGCACAGGCAACCTGAATTCTGGCATTTCCTAACTTGAATGCTGGACTTCGCAACTTTATTTTTAATGTAATATTGAGAGATACCTATATGCATATGGTCAAATATCTGAATGCTTAAAACAAATCTCAATAATAGTTCTGCTATTTCCTGATTCTGCAACCCTTATTAATACTGAGTGTCACTTATTAATACTGAGTGGTATTTACTTGTGTTAGTCACTGTGTTTTATGAAGTCAGTAGAACTGGTTGCATGCAACACTTCTCAATGTAAATAAAAACTGAATATGAGTTACAGAATTGTGCCCAATAACAGCAATAGAAAATCCAGGGCTTTCTAAGTTAAACTTCATGACTATGTTATTTTCTATGTTCTGTATAATTAAAATATAAGTTTATACAGTACATTTTCACCAATTTCCATATAGTAAAGAATCCATTTCACTCTGACTTAATGGAAAAATCACAGCACATATTTATGGTGACCATATTTTCTGAACCAAAATTAGGGACATGTTAGCGATGCCTCCTGACCCTCCATTAGTCACATTCCCTGTCCCCTGTTAGCCACACCCCATGCCACAAGAAGTCCCACTCCTGGAGGTAGTACTCCCGGGGTCAAGATGGCCAGATATAAAGAGTATTGTGTGACTCCTCTAAGAACTCCTCCCACTATCTTCTATCACTAGGGATAGATTTGGCCCCCACAGGACTCCCCATGCAACTATCCTGCAATTGCATTAACCCAATTTGCACTGTTAATGCATTAACTCTGGGGGAGAGGCTGAGGGAAGTGTTTCCTCTGAGATATTCCTCTCAAGAGTGGAGTGAATTTTTTCTTGTGCACCAGTATTGAGTTCATGCGCACTTGTTCAGATGTGTGCCACCGTCGCATCCAAGTTATTAATAAATATCTTATAGACCTCTCCCTTTTCCCCTCTTCTACCATGTCTCCCATCCTCCCCTCACCCCATCTGCTCCCCCGGTGCCTGCTGTCATCCCTCTACCCCTCACCCTTCTGCTGTTCTGGCTCCTGCTCTTCTCACTCTCCTCAGACTTTTGGGGACCAGCCCCACTCTCCATCCTCCTTGACCCCTGCACCCACCCCTCCTCTAGCCCCACTCTGATCATGTGGAGCTGTCCCCCCCCACCCCTTCCCCTAACCCCCCCCTCTCCCCCCCCCCACCCTGCCTCTCTCCTCTGTCCTCTGTCGCCTGTCCCTCCCCTCCAAGTGTCTGTCCTTCTGTTTCACCCCTACAATCCTCCTGGCACCTGCACCATCTCTTACCCCTGCACCTTCCTAGTGCCTCCCCCATCCTCACTGTCCCTGCCGTCCTTGCCCTCTTTCTCCCTGGTGCCCACCCTCTCATCACTCTCTGCACCAGTTCCCTTCATGCCCCTCTGTGCCCTCACCCATGATTTGCTCCATCCCCTGCCTTCCTCATGCCCACCCTCCTTTCAATCCCTCTTCTCCTGGCACCCACTCTTCCCCTCTCCTCTTCCTCCCTCTTGTCCCCATTCTCCCTCCCCTTTCCTCTTCCAGCATCACCCTGTCCCCTCGCCTCTCCCACCCCCACTGACACCTCTCCTCCCTCCTCCTGCCCTTTTCCTCATTGTCTCCTCTTGGCCCCCTGACATTTGTCTCTAATCCACCCTGCCCCTTGCTTCCTGCTCCTTTCTTCTCCTGCCCTGGCTCACCTCAACACAAGCCCATTTCTCTCCTCACTCCCAGCTCCTCCTTAGTTCTCCTCCTGTCCCTTCCCTCACCTTCTACCTTCGACATGGAAAGCAGTTTTCACAGACTGGAGTTGGGGCTGGGGCACTATTTTTAGTACCATGGACCCAGCCACAGAATCCCCCACGGCCCTGGTCCCAGCTGCTCCTGGACTGGAGCAGAAGCCTCTTGTGGTCCTATTTTTAGTACCATAATCCCAGTCTCTTCAGGTGGCCCAGCTCCAGCTGGAGTCAAGCAGCAGCTGCACGAGGCCTGTGAGGCTGCTCTGGTTGGAACACATTTCGTGTTGCGCCGCTTGACTCCAGCTGGACCAGGGGCTGCCTGGGGGGACTGGACCAAGGTACTAAAAATAGCACCGTGGGCAGCCTCTGCTGCTATCCGGGCACATGCTGAGCCCAAGCATGCCCTGCCCTACAGCACTCCCAGACAGAATCCTTGTGGTCCCTGCCAGGACTCCAAGGCATGGAGGTCTGAGAATGGCTCCACCGGATTTTGCTTGGATTCACTCAGCCCCCTGACAGCAGCAGAAGCAGCCACTGTACTAACAAATATCCTGGAGGAGGAGGAGGTGGTGCGGCCAGACCAGGGACCCCACACACCAAAGGCTGTCCCGTTGGGGCAGGGAGGAGGCCACATGGTGTGTGGTGGTGGGGCAGTAGGTGGGAGAGTGTCTTGAAAAGCATACCACTAGAAGCCAGCCTGGCTGCCCACTGGCAAAGCTTCAATGGAGCCACCTACGTGCTTTGCGAGGGTGCAGGGAGAAGGCTGTTATGCTGTGCAAGGAGCAATGCACAGAGCCATTTCTTGATCACTTCTTCCCACAAGCCGGTGTCCACATCAACTAGTGAAATGTCTGGCAGAGCTTTCTGGGACATTTCACTGTTTGATGGGGCACTGAGACAGAGTATTTACATTTGGGACTGTCCCAGAAAAATTGGGACATATGGTCAGTGTACACATATTACACTTAATAGATCAGGGTCAAATGGTAAAAAATGTCTTTGTTGTTTGGCTAGCACTCAGATTTCAATGGCCTAATTCCATTTCTACATATGTGCAGATAATCCTATTGACAATTACAATATTTTTTAATGAATGAAGACAAAACATAATCCAGTAAAAGGGAGAATCACAGAATACTAGAACTGGACAGACTTTCAGAGGCCATCATGTCCAGTCCCCTTCACTCACAGCAGGACCAAGCACCATTTAGATTATCCCTGACAGATATTTATCTAACCTGCTCTTAAATATCTCCAGTGTTTGCTATTCAACAACCTCCTGAGGCAATTTATTCCCATGATTAACCAGCCTGACAGAAAGTTTTTTTCCCAATGTCCAACTTAAACCTCCCTTGCTGAAATTTAAGACTATTTCCTCTTGTCCTGTCCTCAGAAGTTAAGGAGAATAATTTTTCTTTCTCTTTGTAATGCCCTTTTAGGTACATGAAAGCGGTTGTCATGTCCCCTCTCACTCTTCTCTTTACTAAACTAAACAAACCCAGTTCTTTCAGTCTTCCTTCATAGGTCATGTTTTCTAGATCTTTAATCATTTTTGCTGCTTTTCTCTGGACCTTGTCCAATTTCTCCACATGGTTATTGAGTGGACTTGGGGATAAGGCATTGGCCTGGGGACCCAAGGATTCAAGCCCCGCTCACCTTGACATTGTTCTCACATTCAGCACCAGTTGCCCCAGGCATGGAGCTGGCTCTCCCATTAGGAAGACAAGATAAGGAACGCCCTGAAGGTAGCAAGGTGATGCCCAGAACTGGACACAGTACTCCAGTTGAGGCCAAGGGCACCCAGTATGCTAGGCAAGGGAAGCCTCTGACTTCCCAAACTGCCAGGTTGGCCTTGCCCATATTCCATCCCCAGAACACCTACTGTAGGCATTCTGGGGCCGGAGTGTTGCTTCCCCCAATGTCCGTCCTCCATAAGTTTTGGGGCGGCTCAGGCCACATGGCTGCCTCCCTTTCCGCTACTCCCAAGCCAGGGAGACTTGGGCGAGCTCGGGCTGCAGCCACCTCTGTTCCCACTTCTCCAGAGGATGGAGTACTGTGGGCTGCATGGCCTCTTCCCTGCCCGCTGCTCCAGGAATGCTGGAGCACATGCACATGCACATGCTCTTCCCCTCCCCATGTGGGTGAGGCACATGCACACTTGGAACACTGCTTCTCCTCTTCTCCCGGGGGTGGGGCCTCAGCAGAGGGGGCAGAGCTGTAAGAGGAGCTGATTAGGTCTCACCCAGCCCCAGTTGTACTGACCGCCTATAGTTGAAGCCTAATCAGCATAAGAACATGAATGGAAAGATGGGGTGAAATACACTTCAGAAACCTTTAAAACTATAAAAACAATGGCCCAGATACTAAAGTCCTTATTCACCTTATGTTGTGTTCTTAATCAGATGAAACTCCCATTCATTTCAGGATTTGCCACAATGGGAGTTTTACCTATTTAAGTACTGAAAACCAAATAAATCTGTACTTTGGTCTAAAGCCTAATATTGATTTTCCTAGTAGTAGTGACCAGGCCTGTTAGAGCATTGGGGAGGGTATAACTCCATGGCAAAAAGGAGAAATCATGTAGGATGCAAAGTATTAATTCAAAGCTAATTACCCCTTCACTGTATTTTCTGAATATGCCTTCTGGTTTATTTATCATTGTTTTCCAAGGACATGTGAAAGCTGCTTCAAAACTCTGTTGCACCATAGTGATTTTATTAAAGGTTGTGCTTTGATTGCCACATATCCCTGTTCAGTTTTTACTTGTGGTAAAATGCATCACACTATTGTCTTTCATCTGAGTCATACATTAATCCCCTGTCTGGTTCGTTAGATTTCCCAAAGTTGCCTGTAACACTTCCAG